AGGAGAACATTGATCTCTCAGAGTCATTTTGAAAACTTTATCCCAGGATAAAAACAGACAAATAGCAAAGGGTAAACAGGCAAGGGCCACATCTTATTTGTTTCAAGTAGTCTCCCTCTACACATACAGTCCCTACTGATTTCACAAAAGAAAGATCTTGTGCAAAAGTGGTCCACATAGGAAGCAGGAAACTAGAAATGACCCAAGCTCCTGATAGATAGTTATCAATAAATCTATGCAATCATAATGTCATTACTTTGTTTTCACTGGATGTCAAAGTCTTTGCAGTATCATTTTTTCCTGACAGACCATTTATCACAAATTTTCTCCTCTTAGTAATTTTTTGCCGCTTGGAAAAGTCTACATGCACAGAAAAACATTTTGAGAAATGATGAAAAATATTTACTTTATACTTAGAATTGCTTTTCTATGCAATTTAGTGTCAAAATATAAACAAATAGCTGTTAAAATTATCAACAAACAACTGTGGAGGACTTTGCCAATATCAATGCCTTTCATGGAGAAAATCTAAATCCATTACTTTTTAAACAGTGTTTACATGTAGGTCCAGAACCACAGTTTTAGCTCCTAGTGATAACTTTAAACCCTGAAATCGGGCATTCTTATATTTTTTATTTTGTCAAATGCTTTTGTTACTTATTTAACCTCTTCATTATTTACTGAATAAATTCATAAAAATGGGTTCCTAAATAGAATAAGATATATTCCATGCTTGTATAATTATATCAAAATAAATTCTATTATCATGTATAAACAAAAATAATCCAATAAAAACAATTCATTGAATAAATCCATTTCCTTAAAATGGTATAATATAATTAATGGTATGCCAGACCTGAAGTTTATTAAAATTTTATCAAGGTGTTTTTTTTTTAAATCTCTTCTGACAATTCTGTAATCAACTTGGAAGAATAAAGATTCATAGCAATTGTTTTCACAGGTTGAGGAACTGGTCTCAAAACTTCTCTGAGTAATGGGCTAGTGGCAAAATAGCAGAGGTTTCAAGAGGAGTTGGGGTAAGATCCTTCCTCGCCCTGTGTTATATTAACATGTCAGGAGCTGACACAATGGTCAGGCTGGTTGAATTACAATAATGAAGATGTGTCCATCTGCAAAGAGCAGGGACTGCAGAATTAGGTAAATCCGTTTGAATTCCAGTTCCCCCCACTTACCATCTATGTGACTTGGGACTAAACATTTAGTCACTGGGTTTTAATTTCCACATCTGTACAAGGAAAACAATACACACACACACACACACACACACAATAGGCATATAGAAAGTGCTCAGAAAGTGGTACTTACTATCAAATTTGCAGATAATCCAAAACTGAGGATAGGAGCTATATTATAGAAGATTCAAAATCATTATGATGGAGTAGAGAAATAAGCTTAGATAGTGACAAATATAGAGGGAAGAAAAAAAATAAAATCCATAGTTAAATTCTCTTTAAATTTTTTATTTTGCTTTAAATTCATTTGTACCAGCATAGAACGAGATCATCCTGACTTAATAGCAGCTTATATGAAAAAAATTTTCTGAAAACTTCACTGATGGGGAGTTTACTATGGGGACAATAATAGCATGCCACAGATACTTAATTATTGGGTATAATTTTGTACTACATAAGCATATACTATATGTAAATCCAGAAAGTTAAGTAGCCTAGTGCACTTTGCAATGGACACATCCCATCTGGATCATAATGTTCAGTTCTAGACACTGAATTTTCAGAAGAATATTTACAAAACAATGCAACCTAAAATGGAAATCAGAACGATGAAGTGCTCAAAAGATTGCTGAAGGGGCTGGAGTTGTGATAGAGCCCTTGCCTAGCATGTGTGCGGCACTGGGTTCCATTCTCAGCACCACATATAAAAAAAATAATAACGACCCATTGACAATGAAAAAAAAAGTTGTAATTGAAAAAGAAAGAGAGCTGAAGACACTGGGAATAAGGCTGACTGAAAAATTTAGGAAAATTGTGATAACTGCCTTCAAATATATGAATTACTATAAAAAATTGAATAGTAATTCTAATAGCAAATATATTATGAATACTGATCATGTTAAAAAATAGACACAGTTATCCTTACTTTGCAGGTGAAAAAACTGAGGCACAAGGAAACTAAGTTACAACTCCTAAGGGCTAGGCCAGCTTGTCCCCCAGTAGCCCATCCCCAAATCTGGGGAAGATATTAGAGCTATTTGCCAAATATTTATAGTCTTAAAGGATCATGATAAGATGGCACTCGGCCCCCCACCCCCTCCCCCACCCCCACCCCCTTTTCTTCACAGTTGGCTATGGTCACATGATCTGCTTTGGCCAATGAAATGTGAGCTTACACCATATTCATCACTTTCAAAAGAGAGTTTAAGCGTCTGCATACAGCTTGCCACATACTCTCCCAACTGCAGATGTGCAGAGATGGAGCCTCCATTAATTGAGGTCTCTGAGGGACAATGATGAACAGAGCTTCCCTGCTGACCCATGTGGGAGAAGTGGCAGGAGCAAGAAATTGGCTGTTATTGTTTGTTTAAGTCACTGAGGTTCAAGGGTTGTTTCTTTTGCAAGGGCATCACTCCCCTTCAGACAGACACATGAGCCCACATACTTAAAATCATCAGCATACTGAGGCAGGAGGATTGCAAGTTCAAAGACAGCCTCAGCAAAAGCAAGGCACTAAGCAACTCAGTGAGATGCTGTCTCTAAAAAAAAAAATACAAAATAGGGCTGGGGATGTGGCTCAGAAGTTGAGCATTCCTGAGTTCAATCCCCAGCACCCCCCCCCCCGCAAAAAAAAAGTCATCAGAATATCTCAGAATAATAAAACATATTTATTCTATTTTCAGAACTAAAAGAATAATTTGTAGAAACTATGGATGGGCAGACTGGGGCTTTCTAATTTAATTTTATTTTTTTATAAAAATTATCTAAAAGTTGCTTCATGAGGTGGTGAGCTCCCTAATGATGGCAGTATTTGCTGAGAGGCCAGATGATCATTTTACATCTATATACAAAACAGATGTCTTAATGAAGGGAATTCAAGGTATCAAACATTTATTGAATACCTGCAATGTGCCAGGCATTCCAGTCACAAAGAGAAATCCAAACACACAATCCTTATCCTCTAAGAAATAGCAATCAAGTTCAGAACTACATAACCTCTGATTTTTTTTAACAGTGTGATTCATCCAAATTAGACATAATAACATGGCCAGGATAAAGCTGACAGCAAGCCTCAACTTACAAATAACCATGTACCACTAGAAATCCTGCTGATGCTTAGGTTGTATTATTATTTTTCAATTAGAAGCCAAAAGTATAGGGTTTACAAAAGGGAGGAAAACGGGAGAATTGCTGGGTTTAAAGGAGAAACATTTTTCCTTTCTCTAGTTACCATTCTTTAATCTTGCAAACCAGGCATATTATCTGGCTTACATCAGGGGTGTTCCAGCAAAGGGAATAGACTGACTCACAGCAATTGTTACTGACCTTTTCCATCACTTCTCCCACCCCTTAGAGACAGGAAGGGAACATTTTGGTGCTGACCAATTTACACCCCAAAACAGGCAATCACTTCTCTATAAAGAGCTATTCTTCAGTTAAGATGTCAGTCAAAGCCTTTCCAAAATATCAAAACTTTTCCCAAAAGGGTATGTGGGCAGGGCCTAAAGAAATGCCACATTCAAAAGAAGATGTGAAAATCTCAAACTAAATGAGTGATTCCAAGAGACACTGTTATTGTTTCACAAATGGCACCTTTAAACAGTACTGATTTCCATATTTCATCTCAGTAGCTAAAAGTTTGTTTTTTAAAACTTTTGAAAATCAATCAGGGAGAGATACTATCCTTTCACTGGCTCACTGCCTTTTAATGGAAAAACAACTAAGAACTGGATAAGCATTAACTGTAATTGTTCTGAGGCAGACATTTCCATTTCAGGTTATCATTCATGATTGTATTAAAGCAGAATAATATATGTGGATGGGTTTTGCAGCCATTACCTAGACACTGCTAAGGGCATCTGATGACTATTGTTCTTCAATTCAAAAGTGTCAGTTTTAACTTTGAATCCTTCAGCCCTGCCTAGGCCCTGAATTTTCTGACCCATGGCTCTGATTTTCTATGAAATAGTCACAAAAATCAGGGCATGCTGATCAATGCCATCCTTCCCATCAGTTTGGTATGGCACGAGTGTCTCTAAAACACATACAGAAGAAATTGGCTTTAGCACATGTAAAAGCAGCAGGGAATTTACAGCTCGTGCACCCTTAATACCCTCTTCTATTTTAAAAAATACAATAATATTCTTGCAGAGACAGCTGGATCCCTGTGATACCCAGTCTTGTGCCAAGCTGTGTACAAATATACTCTTTACAAAACAGATGTGAAACGTGCTATGACAGAAGCAAGACAAAAAAGATTCGCGTGTTTAGTGGCTCCACACCCAAAAGTTTCAGGCACAGAGCTGATGTTTGAACAGTGAAAGGGAAGACCGCCCATCCTGTACTTTCATCCGGGCACTATGGAGATGACCCCATTTCCTAGAATCAGTTTGCCCTCTGCCCTAAAGACCTGGGTTGAGATTTAATTTGGGACCAGAGTGGGCCAAGACAATTGTGCTGTTGGTTACTCAGAGAGAAGGTCTGAAATCTCCAAGACAGCCCAGGCTAACTGGGCTGACACACCCACCCAGAACTAATGGCCCAGCGGTCCAGCAGGGAAGCTGGGGTAGGGAAGCAGAGCCGGGTAGGGGGTCTGGGACCCTTACAGTGAGCTTAGGAAGATGCTGCACCTGCGAACCCAGGGACGGGACTAGAAGGTCACGATGTGCTCAGCACAGGATGCCCTTTTCCTCCCTCTAGTCGCCCATCCCCTTGGAAAGTGAGCGCGAGAAAGTTGCGCCCCGGCCATGGCGGCGAGAACTGGAGAAGGGGACAGGGCAGGCAGAGAAGGGAACTGGGCCCCCTTACCTTGTCCTCCGGATCAAGGTTCTGCAACACCTCCTTGCCTGTGGCGCTCAGGATCTCCACCCCGGCGGGCTCGAGCGACTCAGGCGCCGGCTCACTGCTCTCCTCCCGGGCTTGGGTTCTGCGTGGGGTGTCCCCCTCGACCCCGGGCCGAGTCCCTGAGCCGCGGCCGCTGCCCTGGCTGCTCCGGGGAGTCTTTGCGCCTCGCTGCCCCACGCTCAGGGCATCGAAATCCAGCGTCTTGCTCTCGAAGGCTCCCTCCACGTTGCAGAACATGCCGCCGTACTTCTGCCGTGGGACCTGGTCGGTGGTTCCCGGCCTGGCCAGGTACACGGGCAGATCATCCTCGTGGGAGCTGTCCCAGCCTCGTCGTCCGGAGGCCATGGTTCAAGCGCGACAGCGGCCCGCTGGTTTTCTTCCCCAGAGACGGAAAGGGCAGCCGGCGGCAGCGTGCACCGAGCCACAGTGACTGGGGCGGGAGGAGGCGCCTGAGCCTTCGCGCCAGAGGCGGCAGTGCTGCTCCGATTCCTGTCTGTCCCCAGCGAGCCAGCCAGCCAGCCAGCCAGGGAGCGTGCGAGCGGCGCAGGGGCCCGGAGCTCCCTCGCTCGCCCGGGGGACCTCTCGCCCGCCCGCCGGGAGGAAACCGCCTGCTGCACCTCCCCAGGCACCCCCAGCCTTAACGTGGGCTCGCGGGCTGGCGCAGTGTTGGTGCCCATCACAAACACAAATCCAAACTTGGCGCGCCGCGCGCATGTACACACACACACACACACACACACACACACACTCCCCCCCTCACGCAAGAAGCTCCAGACTTGTTTCATACTTAGACACAATTCAGATGTCTTAAAAATGCTCACACTCGGAGAACTTACTCCCATATGCACACAAACTAACTGTTTTCCCCGCATTAGCTCCCAAGTTTGCCTCCCAAACACCAATCTTTTTGACTCTCTCATGCACAAAATCCAAACTGACCCAGGTGTGTTCATCTCAAAGCCAAGTCCTGATTTACAACAAACACATACAAATTCGGATTTAGAACAGACTCACAGTCTTACCCATAACCCCAGATGGCCTTATCCTGATTTTGAGTTGTCTCACAATTACACTAGTTCCAGAATCTGCCTAGCAAACCTGCACCTTCATATGATAAATTCCTGAATTGAATTACACATATCCAATACAACACACACAGAAGAGGGGAAGACCATTTTTCTTCATTGACATTCACAAAAACCCAGAATTGACTCACATAAACCCATTCCTACCTCATACATACTATCCTAGAATGTGCTTTTTACCCAACCTTAATTTGCCTCACAAAATTACACTATAGATCACAGACATGCATACTTGCATAGATTTTGCATTGCAAAATGATCTGTCCATCATACAACAAACTACAGGCTTCTACCTCACACAGAGACTCCTTTAGAACCTCCTTTAGAACCTTACACTTAGTTCACACACAAATTAGATTTATTTCAAAAAATGCACAACCAAAGAACTTTGCCTTCCATGTTACCTCACACATACAAAGACTTATGTGCATACATGCTCTCATGATCTCATTCCCATCCTCACATCTACCCATATGTGTTCTGCCTGACCCAGTTGTTGCCATATAAACACAGAATCCACAAACTTGAAAAACTTGAATCCTATCAGTGCATATAGCCTAAGCCCAGAATCTTTGCTGTCCAAATTTAACTGAATCTCCTCTCAGAAATGTATGCATTCATTTGTTTATTCAGCCAACAAGAACCAAGTGACTCATTGGCCCATTTGCTCTTCACAAAATACTGGAACAACAGTGTTAAAAAGACAAATGAGGTCTGACCACCAAGAGTGTAGTTGTAGCCATCCATCTAAGCACCATCATTCAGGGTTTATTTTCTGACTTCATTCCCTGAATCCTACTCCCCCCGTTCTTCTAAGCTCCACAAAGGCAGAGATCTGGTCTGTTTAGTTTACCTTTATATATCTTGTGAATAGGACATATTCAGGCACATAACAGGTACTCAATAAATGTTTTTAATAAATGAATGATAACAACAAGGAACATTTAAGAAGCTGTTGATAATGTGCCAATCGCTATTGTAATTCTTTCATATATACTAACTTATTTCTCTGTGCATATAGGCACAGTCTTTGAAGGCATCTGAGCTGAGTTTGATGACCTGAAATTCCAGTTTTGGAGTGAGATAAGGACACTAGGAATTATAACACTGAATCCCTGTGACAGTCACAAAGATTTGGAACATGGAAGTCGACCTGGACTCAGAGCAGACAGGTGCATTGACAAAAGTTATACCTACCCACAGTGAAGAGAAAAAAAACATTCACTAACCAGCCTGCACTCTATCAAAATTATTTATTATTTCTTAAACTCACTTCCTCTGGGAAGCTTCTCCTTTTAAACAAATGCTGATTAGTGATAAACCTAGAATTTCACTTGAAAATTGGTAATATAGCTTATTTCTTCCATCTTTGCTGACATAGATGGTTTCCCTCACCTTTTTAATTGCTACTGACTTCTTCTCCAGTCATTAACTAATTATAGGCTTGTAGGAGGACACTTGCTTTGTGTCCAGTGCTGTTGCAGGTCCTCTCCTCTGTAGAACATAATTCTAGTGGGGGGAAACAAACGAAGAGAAAAAAATCAAGGCAGAGAGTCATAGAGCTATAAAAGGCTATGAAGAAAATAAGATAACTAGCTACGATATATCAAGAATTTAGGAGTGTCTGACTCTGTGTAAAGGGCATACCATGCAGTCTGTTTACTAGCTTTTATAATTCTGCAGATCATGTACTATTATTCTTTTTTATAAACAAGGAAGCCCAACTTTTGGCAGAGTCATAACCTAAATGAAATATGTATAAAGGGTCTAAGGGTTCCTTGAAAGGGCCTATTCTGAATGTCGGTGCATGCATGTATGTGCTATTGTAAGTGGGTGTATGGGATACACAACCAGTTTTGTTGTTAGAGGAGCAGCTCCATTATCTCACTACTCTCTATATGATGCTATAGCTATGCCCAACAATTATATTTGTTGACAAAATATCACATTTAAAAGTCAACTGCTGCATATTCACATATGTGATTAATTAAGAAAGCAAAGCAGCCTATTACAAAAAAGACTGAAATAAGAATGGCTCATCTCACCCTAGTTCTGCAAGTATGTGGCCTTAGGCATGTGACTTACTTAATTTATTGTCTTTCTTCTTTGTATTTGCCTCACCTACCAAACAGGTTTATTAAGGACTTCATTCTCTGAGCAAGGCATTGTGCAAAGAATTTTATATGCATCGACTTAATTTTCATCAGGACTCCATAAACTGTGATGATTATTCCCCCTCCTTTTTTTAAACCAGTGGAGAAAACAAGGCCTAGACCAGTGAAGTTCCTTGTTCAAAGTAGCACAGTTAGCACTTCAAATTGAAATTCAAACCTTCTACTTTCTGACCAGAGCCTGTGTTCAGAGAGCTCTGATAGCTCTTTCATGAAAATCTAGAGAAATGATACATGGGAAGACCAAAGGTAACATGTTAACCAATAAAATAAGCACTTAAGTTGATCTTAGATAGAAGCTAAGTTTAAGACAAACACTCATATAAAGAAATATCCTAACACTCTCAAAGGTATTAATCTCACAAACACACAGCAATTTTGTCATGTAAATTACTTAAGTTGGAGAATAAAGGTGTCACTCACAAGCACAAGAGCAACAGTATGCCTATAGATTCCTTAACTGAGACTAGCCAGGAAGGTATTTCATAAAATAATGCTCAAACAGCAAACTATTTCTGTAATGTAGGCAGCAAAAAGAGTTTTCAACTTGTCACATGCCAGATCAAATTTGCATTTCTTGTAACTCTGCAGTAAATCACATGCCACTTCGCACTGAGATGACTTGTGATGGAAGCCCAGAGCATATCCGATGATAACTTTAGGAAAATGTATTCCGGAGGCATCTTCTATTACCTATAGATCAGCGGAAGCAGAGAATCCTAGACAGTAAGCAGTGGCACCAGGCAATCTTGATATGCCAGCACACAGAATGTATTTTATGTAAAAACAAATTACACTGCATTTTTATGAGGCAAAAAAATTGACCCATCAGAAGCTAAAATTTTAATATTCACTCAGGTCATGCTGCCATATTCAAAATAAGAGGGAAATAGAGGAGTTATACAGTTTACCTTGACTCAACGGTGAATTTATTTTTGTCACTTCATTTCTATTTCATAATCATAAACGTAACTCTACAATCCAGCTAGACATGAAGAGGAATAAGGAAAATTTGGAAACTAAAGCACAACTGTAGCAAAAACACAAACATTATAGAATATTGCAAGCAGGTAGGATAAGAGGTGTTCTCCTGAGCTACAGAAGGTCTATTGTTTGAGATAAAAAATGAATTAGATGTACTAGAGTTTTCCACAGTCATCTATGATGACCTTGTTGCTGGTCTTGCCATTCCTAGACCCAAAGTCCACCATGACTTCCATCACAGCCACGCCCTTTTCCTCAATCCTAAAGGTCACCTGCCTGCCATCCAACCACTGAGTTCTGGCGGTACAGATAAAAAATGAGAATCATTTGGGCTCAGCCTAACATTTGCCACGAACAAGATGCCAGGACCTATATATTTCAGAATGAAGTTCCAATCCTCAAATTTCTTCTTCTCATAGACGGACTTTCCATGCCATTATGGCGTGTGAAGTCACTATCCCAGAACATAAATGTACTTGAATAATTCTACAAAACCAGGAAAACTTATGGCCTAATCCTTTGTCTTCAGTGCTCAGAGCACAAAAATGGTCTGCTACCTTTAGAACTTGGTCTGCTAACAGCTTGAAGCAGCTGGTGGCCTAAGGGCCCGCTGTTGACAGCTATGTTGAGGAACTTGACCCCTGGCAACCAACAGCTCCAGGTGACAGTGGCTTCCGCAAAGTCTTAAGAGTTAATTTAAATATTTCTAATCATAACTCATCCTTTTTGTTTTCCTTCCTTGGATTACAGGAATTTGAACCCTCATCATCTTTTTTCCCCATTTCATGGACCTCAAAGTTTGAAGCCTTGTTTTTCAACCATGAATATATGAAACAATGTTTTAAAAATGGACAACCCTTTGCCTGACACAGAGTAGGGACTCAATAAACCTTAGTTCCAATTTCCTCAGGGTATATATACATCATTAATCTCACACAGAATTTGCAATGAGCTTGACTATGTTCTATAATTTTAATTTGGCAGAATTTTATGAGCAAATTGATACCGACTATAATATTGTTTGGGATAGACGTTAAAAATGACTGCTGTCTTCCATATACTTTCATCATAACCTTTGAATTTTCCTGACAGACTGCCACTGAGTTTTGTCTCAATATTTGGTGACCAAAGACTTAATTAAAAACATAAAACAAGGTATTTTCCAAATAGATGCAAAACAGTAAAACTAGATTATAAAATATTTTCAGTAATCCTAATTGCACATGCAGAAAAAAATCCCTGCTCTTTTATGAATATACACATGTAAAGGAAA